GTCCGCCGATTTGTATTCACGAAGAACTCGAAAATTTCTTTTGATATCGACTTATCGATGCCTGTGCCGAGTTTGGGTGGTGTGGACGTGAAACTTGACCTGTCGTTCCCGTTATCCATAACTATGTTGAACGACACACTCATATTCAATCCAATTACACTGCCATACCTTGTAATGCAAGATCCGGCAGCGCCGGCAGTTCCACTCAATTTTCCGTCGTTTATGCCTAATTATTATAGTTATGACTCATACTATGGATCACCCGGTGGTTCCCCTTATTATACACACCAAGCAATGAAGCGAAGTATAGATGCGGCGGCGGCACAGCATCGCTACGATCTCTTCACATCAATCGCTGAAACCCTCGAAAGGTTTGTCTCGACAGTCATTGACTGGGAATTGATTTTTGTTTCAAATATAAGGTATGGAATCGATGGTCGGAATTGCATACATCGAGCTATTTGTGAATTAGCCGCCACTCCAATGCTTATTGAATCGCCGTTTCACGAGATATTGGAACACATTTTGATGGTTTCGCGGTCTTATGATGAGGAGGGGCTCCTTCAGGACTATATGAGCGCACAGTTGTATGGGAAAGGAGGCAAAGATTGCGCTCAAAAATTTAGTTCTTGTGGTTTTAGTATATTTCAAAAGCTTGAGGAATGACTTAGTCTTAAATATCCCACGAAAATAAGTGATGCTTTACTAACATATCTCTTACGCCATCCTTCGAGACGGGAGACTTCGGTTGAATACTTTCAGACAGTTCTGAGTTTGGGTTCAAATTAAACGAAAACTGTGTCAATAGCCTGAAAAAAAGCATTTATTTTTTTTTATTTGTCATTATTTATAAATTTAATAAATAACTATTACGGGAGTATTATTTGATGTGTATATTTAATTAAAGTGGAGGTACAGTACCTGAGCTCAGACTTAATCATTTTCCAAACCGGACTGTTGATGAAACTCCAGTTGTGATACCATTTGGAGATAATGTGCGGTTGATTGGCACAAATAACAGCAAACCATTCGTGAAGAATATTCTGATTTAAAGCAATACATAGAAGAGAGCGAAGCTTGACATCCATGGCCTCATTCTCGTGCGTATGGTTTATGTGTGCAATACTTCTGTACAACAACTCGGAAGGCGTGAGAACTCTCGCGAATTCGTCCAAACGGAAGGTTCGCGTCAACACTAGCCGTGAATACACGGAATTGAAGTCACTTTCGGCGCACGCCTTAGAAATGGCTTCAATTATGATCCAGGGATGGGTCGTCACGAACAGAGTTTTCTTCATTCCGTACGTTAATATAGTTTTGATTGCATTGTAAAGTCGGCCCCGAATTAAGTCATTAACGAAGGGAATGACGCGATCGTCGCCAGCGATGCTGTAGTCTCTGTTCCTCTCGTCCAGCATTTCCACAAACTTCGCCGGAAACCAACCTCTCAGACCATTCAACTCCCCGACCCAACAGTGCTCATCCCTCTCACTGATTATGGTTATGATGTCATTCTTCCTGAACCCCAACTCATCCGAATCGTGTCGTTGGAAATCAATCAATGCTTTGGCTCTTCTTTGTCTCATTCGTTGCTTTCTTTGATTGTAATCGTCTTCCTCTTCATTGTTGTCAACACACGAATAGTCGGGAATCAGATTCGCTTTGAAAGACGGCTCGTGGACTTCAAAGTGACGGCCAATCGCTTCGATAGCTTCGTGTAACTCCAATATAATGGAAGTCTGTCTCACATTCTTTGTCTTTGGATCTGAGTCTTGTATATCGGAACTAAATGATGGCAACGATAACATGGATGTGTGACTCGAAGAGTTTTCTGATATATTGGACGTCAGAGGACTGGGAGTCAAGTGCTGAACAAACTGTTCTCCGGTACTCCAAATCAATAGCAATGACGATAAGTCTTTGATATTTGATGGTAAGTCTGATAATGAATTGAAGACATTCGCTGAATCTTTGGTGTCGCATATGATATGATTGTGACAAACGAGAAGACCTAAAGTTATTTGAAACAAAACAATTGATCCAAAATAGAAGTAAAGGTCCCATAAATGGAAAAGAGTTTTGGTTTCGGGAATAAAAGCGGCGAAAAGAGCGGAAAACCAATGGGAAGTAATTAAACTCAATTCAATGTCGTGTTGTTTCAGTATGTCATCGATTTGTGGACAATTAGTGCTAATGAGATCCTTGAGAGTGCTTTGATGGCTGAATGATTTGAGTTCATTAGCAATGGATAACGTGAGCCAAAAGGCGTCCTCTTCCTCGCAGACCAGCAGAAGATAAGCGGCGATAACCGACAGATTGACGGACTCGCGGCTCATATTGTAAACTGTGGTCCCATTCTTCTGGAGCCATTTAATAACCCGTAATATTCTTCTAAGTCTTTCGATTCCGACAGAAGTGTTGGACATAAAGCATGCGTTCGTCGGCAGGATTTTGGATATTTGTTTGTCGGAAAGGGATGGCACGTGATTAGAGAGATCGCAAAGTTGGGTATACGTCCAGTTGCTGTTCACTTTCAGTGTCATTCCCTTCGAGGTCCGCATCCAAATGGCAGGCCTTAGAGGCGAACAAATGCCTGATTTTATGAGTTCTGTCAACACCTTCGTGTGTCTCATCTGTATGTCCACCTGAGACCACTTCATGTGAGGAATGGCCTCTTTGTTGTAGTGGAACTCCAAATAACAGATCCATTTGGAGCGCAAGTCTTCATCGGATTCTGTACTAACAGAATGTTTGTGTGTTTGTGGATCTGATTCAAGTGATTCATGTGATTCTTGTTTGTGGTGTGGTTTGTATTCAGTGATGAATCCGTAGTCATCGAAGTGATGCGGAGGCTGTGAATCCTCGGGCTGTGAGAGAGCCGTCAGAATATCTTCGGGCCATATGGAGGGGTTGAGGGCATAGAAGGGTTCACCCCTTTGGGGCTTATATTGACAATCGATGACCGAATGGCTGACAATATCGCAGTCAATGGAGTGCTTGTGATCAATGGTCTCATCCTCAGCATCACTAAGAGTGTCCGGTTGTATGACTTTGTTGTCATAGCCGTCATCATGAGGTGAGCTCTTCATAGAACTCGATATAGACTTCACCAAAGACTTAGCCATATCTGTGACAATGGATTGGAGGATCCGTTGTAAGAATTTTCTAATATTCTTCAGATGTCTTACATATTGTGTGAAGTGTTGGCTATAATTGAACGGCAAGTCATTGGCTGTCAATGCAATCACTACTCAGTTGTTCACAACTTGTGCTCAAATCATACAACAGCTGCTCTTCTTATATCATATCATATTCACTACAATATGTTATTATATAATAGCATATCATATATACTATAGTTTAGTATTATATATATTATAGCATATATTCTCTCATATTCTGTAGACTAACTCATTCTTCAATCCATTTCATGTCAACTCTCTCTCCTGTGTCTGACATCTATTGTCTATACTCTTCATGAGAACAGTTCCCAACTTATTCCTAAAGAATATACAACTATACTATTCATCGATTCGCACATTATTGTGTCAATTAGTAGTTTAGTTAACAAATTAATAAATACAGTATATATATATACTATTTATTCTAATTAATTGCAGAATTTAGTAAAATACAAATTGAAAATTCAGGTCTTGGTAACTATTCTTGAGGTATTGAATTAGAGAATTTCATTTGAAAAATAAACAACAATTTTTTATAAATTCTGAAATAAGTTATAAACAATAAATAAAATAATATTGGAGGAGTTTGTTTTTGTAAATTATTATTTGTCTTAATCCAATTTGTTTTATTTGATTTAATGTTTAACCTAAAAAGAAATTTTAATACTTTTGTTCATAGTAAGTTTATTTAAAGTATAACTTAAATCACTACATTATTGTATAACAAATAAGTTTTATTTAACTTTAATAAATAAGGCGTTTTTATCTTGAATACTCATATTTCACAAATAAATTAGATTAAAATTATTTTTGTTTGAATGAAAATTAAAAAAGTATTATTTTTATACAATATTTTATACAAAATTTGTAGACAATGTAGAACAAGGACATTTATTTTTATGCTACTATTTTATTTTTTCAAATATAATTCAAGCACATTATTATAAATAATATTTATATAAATGATAAAAAATAAATAAATATTAATTAGAAAAATTTAAAATTTAAAACTTTTAATGTTGTTTTAATTCTTTTTAAAAGTTATAAGCAAAGTGTAGTATTATTGAAACCATTGATTAGGTTATGTATACAATGCAAAATAAATGTCCGTGTTCTGAATGGTCTACACTAAATAATAATAATTAATATTAACTAATTGTTTATATTTATGGCTCTGAAAAACAAGTTTTTTTGCAACTATTTGTATATAAAATTTAAAATTTAGAATTATTTAAAGCATATTTACTAAAGTTTATTTCGTAAATTACTTAATATAACTATGATATAGACAATATAATTTGGTTTGAGAACATATTATGTATTATAGAGTAGACATGAAAATACAGAAATGCGCAAGTAATGCATTATTTAACTTATTATAAATATTAAGTTTATTGGAATATTAAAATAATTCATAAAAAATGTAATGTTTATAATAAGTTCATTACATAAAGTTACAATCCCTTATAAACCTTTATAAACAAATTATTTAAAAACTTCAACAAATAACATTAGATTACAAAAGTTGCAAGTAATTTAAATTCAATGAAGCCTAGGAAAAATAAAACGAATCATGATTGATAATCTAGGAAACGAGTTAAAAATATGAGTTTTTAAAGATAAAATAAAAATTGTAAAACTAATGTGTGATTCTTGAAATTCTTAGAGCGAAATAGAATCGGATCATTTAAAAACCCTACTTATATATTGTGAATATATCCCAGCACTTACTTACAATTCATTTGTCTAATATAGTAAAGAGCACTTTGATTAACAAATGCATCCAAAAAGCAAAAATGTTGACCACAACTACTGTAGATTTCTCAGATCTTAATCTCTTGCTGTGAGATCTAATTTGTTTGATGTCGTTAATAATTTATTTGCAAAAAAACTTTTTAATTAATTTTTTCTAAATTTTACCAGAATGTGCAATTCAATTACCAGTAATTAAACATGTGATTTTGATTATCGCATAAGATCTTAATGTACAGTACAGTAGAATCTACTGAGTAGATATTAATGTAATAAGTGTTATAATTTGTTTATTTTATACTATCATTAATGTATCACATATGTGTAATTAATATGTTTAAATTGTTTAAAAAAACAAGAATTATTTATAGTTAACCGATTTTTATAAAAATCAATATATTTTTAATATAGTGTAGCATGTACATGTAGCATGTCTTAGTATATGTGACATGAAAGCTTAAACTTATTACAACTAATAAATCTCCATTATTAGAGTAATTGTTTGGCTTAAATATCATAAATATCAACTTATTTACGCCAATAATATAATTTAACAAACATTGACACAAAACATTAATAAATTTAGAAATAATTAATAAAATATTTAAAGGACAATTATTACATTGAGATGATATTCATTTAATTAAAAATTATTAAATTTATTATTAATATGTTATTCTTACCTATTATTTCAATTCTTTAAACATAATGTGATAATATTAGAAATGAAAATATTTCTAAAATAATACATTTCTATTTATTTAAAATATTATAAAATATGAATACTTTATTTAAGTTGTTTTGAATTAAACATTTTCTATAAGTCTCACTAAAAGGTGTAAGAAAAGCTAGTAGTGAATATAAAAGTCTATTATTATTGAATTTTCTGCCACTTAACGAGAATATAGACTTTAATTAGGCTTAAAATTCATGTTAAGTGAAAAGTGTTGACAGAATGAGATAATAAATGATTGCAAAAGCGTTTCGGGGATGTATTGTAATGCAGACAATGGCTTACTCTATAATTATAGTATCATTCATATTATATTCTTCTATTCTTATATAGTGTAACACATTATTATGAAATCTATAGTGCACTACAATAAGTACAGAATATATGCAAAACCAAAGTATTATTTAAAAGAAATCTAGTTTCTTATTTAACAAACTAAACTGTAGTCAAATGGTGTGAATGTAATTTGAATTTAAAGGTTAATTAAATAATAAAAGTTAGTTTGGATGATGGCTTGTATTGGTTTTCATTTGGGGATATAAGATATAAAATGAAGGAATCATTTATAAGTCATCCCTAGTCTATGATTCATAACTTATGATATGATTCATAAAAGTTGTTGTGTTTATTAGGCCTTCAATTCCTGATACAGTATTGGCTTTCATTTATTAAAGTGAACACAAAGTATAGCCAATGTATCGCATATAGTGTTCCGCTTAATAAACAGATAATAATTAGGAGCGACTTATCTCTAGTAATAAAATATTATTAATTTAATACTACTTTTGCTTTTGTAATATCATATGAGAAAGCTCTGAACGACCCGAACATAAATTGTTTGTGACATGAAATGCTATTTCTTTAGGAATTGAGTTTGAGTTTAATATATTTGTTGAGAAATTTGTTGTTAAAGTGTTATGAAAATCTGATTGTTTGAAGCATTTTATGTAAATAAGGGTTTGTGTTAAAAGAGGAGACAGTTTTGGCAATGGGTTTGTGCCTACAATTGATCGACAATGAGATGATTGGTGTTATATTTCATGGGGAAAAGTAGTTACTGTATGAGCCCTGCACTGCATCGATGACTGGCACTGGCACTGGCACTACACGACTACATCTCTGAACATCTCTGTGACTACTGTATGACTGGTGTATGACTATGTGCTGGGATGTACTGATGTACACAAGTGACTGAATGAGATGTTTAGCTCTTTGGATCGTATGGATAGTCAGTGACTGGTATCGATCGGTGCATTGCAGAGCATTCACTCGAATATTGGCGTAACTTAAGAAACACACAAAATGCCAACTTATGCCACTTCTCCACTTGCAATACCAGTGCCACTGCCATACCACACCATACCATACCCTACCAGTGCAATCCCAATGCAATCCCAGTGCCGATCGAACCGAACCGATGTGGATGTGGACGCCATTCGTAAGCCATTGCTTAGCCATTGCTCTTAATTGTGCGAATCATCGCCACTGAGTCTAATCGTTAAACAAATGCAATCAATGCTCAACTCATAGACGTGTTGACAGAGTTGACGACCAGTTGTGCCCTCACAGCAAACACTAACCGATTCGCGATTTCATCTATCATTTGCTCCTCTCATCCCTCACTCTATGCCTGACGTCTCAATCGACTCACACCGCAGACAGTGCTAGACATCAGTAGACAACAGTCGTCCACAACAGACAACAGGAGACAACTATGAATGTAAAAGTTATCACAAGTGGAAAGGGATGCAAACGAGGCCTCACTTTTTACAACTATTGCCTCCAAGTGTGCCAACTGTGCGCATACATTACATGTAAGTCAATGTTTTACACTATGATTGCTTTAATGGGTTACTGTCTTACACTGGCATTCACTTGATTCACTAAACTTTCATATCTATTATAATGAATGAATGAATACATAAATAAAAGTCTCTCAAAGTGTATGATATGAGCGATTCCTAATGGAAAGGCTGCTTTTCAGGCACACTTACGATGGGCTTATTTGGTGTTATCAATTCAAAAGACGTTCAAAGCCACGATTTGCCATATTTTGCTGATCGACTCAATAACATAACGGTTGCCGTCGGAAGGGACGCTACTTTCCAATGTGTTGTCCATAACTTAAAAAAGGAATATCAAGTAAATCCTTTCAAATCAAAACTTAATCACAGATTTACTTTTTATGTCACTTTTTTGCTGACATAATGTAAAGCATTGCACTAAAGTGTCATTTGAGGGCATGTTTTCAAATGCATTGCTCAGATCCATAGATTCATTTGATTGAGTGCTTTATGGAGTAAGAAATAGCTTTTGTATTGAATGCTATGATTAGGTGGTTTGGTTTCATAAGGACAGACACACTCTATTAGCGATGCACGACACCGTCATATTCAGGTCGGGACGCCTTTCCGTCACCACTCACGCGGCCAACACTTTTAATCTCTATATCCATGATATTCGTGAGGAAGACAGTGGAGAATACATGTGCCAAATAAATACAAATCCTATGATCAGTCAAAGTGGTTTCTTACAGGTCGTCGGTATGTAATCCTCTCTTATATATAGTATTTGTCTTTCACTTAAAAGACTGTTTGATGGCAACGTGTGTCTCCTAACTGTCAGTTCCGCCGCGTTTTGTCCAGAAGTTTACGTCTTCTGATGAAGAAGTGCGCGAAGACTCGTCAGTAAGTCTGAGATGTAGTGCCAGTGGTTTCCCTAAGCCTGACATTAAATGGCGCAGAGAAGACGGTCAGCCCATTAACATCCAGTCAAATGGCACCACAAAACTCAGCCAAAAAGGTTTGAATCCTAGTTTACTACAGTATTAGGGAAACCATTACTATATGGAAACCGTATGTAATTAAATGAGTGAATATTTTTGCTAAATATATAAATTAAATAATTAAAAGATATAAATCTAAATAATATTAAGTTATTAAAACAATTTATATGAAATGAATGGCAGAAACTACTTAAAATAATGGATACGTGTAATGAGTATTAATACAATAATAGTATTTATTGTTTATTTGGATAGAGATTGCAGTGAATGGCGAGTATCTGAACATAACAAAAGTGACTCGTCTTCATATGGGTTCGTATGCTTTTATTTCATGCTTTACTCACTCTATTAAGTCAAGTCTCCCCCAGTTTTCACTAAAATCCGAGCGAACAAAGTGAGGTCATATTTATTGCTACAGTACTCGCAAAAAATTTATTGCTCCTATAACTTATAACTATCCGCTGAACAGTGAATAACTGCTCAAAGTTTTCAAAAGCCAAGCTTAATTTAAATATTTTATGATATTTATTATATTAATGATTGTTTTCAAGGCTTTTCAGTTATTTTCATTGATTGAAATACAATTTAAAAATATGATTTTAAATAAGACTTTTCTTTTTTATAACTGTTAGTGACAATAATTTATAATGGATAGAAAATTTTGTATGAATTGTGTAGGCTTGGAGTGCATATAATCATTTTGAATTAACTCATCACTTGAGTTACTGTATAAGTAGACATAATATATAGGATTGAATTGAGGCCAAAATGTTTTAAGCCATATAAATACAAACCCTTTCAAAAATATCACTTCTTTATTGGATTAAATATTTTTTGCTCTTATTTTGTAAAAAATTATATTTAAACTTAATCTCAACAAACAATTATATTTATGCGCTTTATTCTACATAAAATTTATCATTATTTTTTAAATTTTTATCAAAAAATTATGCTTTTAAGACTAAGATGAACGTTATCAATGTATTAGTTATGATAATATATAGAAATATAAATAAAAATACAATTTAGAGCATAAAATCTCGTCTGTCTATATGCTAACCAAACAAATATATATTATTATATGATATAACTGTTATATTTACAGAATCCCGACTTAAGTCATATAATAAGCAATTGTTTGAGATTCTGCTCGTTTCAGTCATATCCACATTATAGTCATCGCTTTTGTCGTTACATTCATTTTGTTTCATTTCTGCTTTTATTTTCATATTTTATTTAATCGAAACCGCAATACCAATCAAATTGATGTAATGCTATGCAAAACCATATTTTATTAAATCTTATTATCTCTAGATTTTGATGTCTAAAATTATTAATATAACTTTAATTAAGTATTAATAAAATATTAAATTGATTAAATATATTTTCATATTTTTACAGGAGCTTATATTTGTATTGCAAATAACGGGTAAATATATATTTTTTAATTTTATTTCAATAAACATCTTGAAAATAACTTTTCCTTATTTAAATTGGAGTTTTATTTAAATTAAACAATATTAGCCTCTTATAAAATGTATTTAAATAGATTATATACAGTGCAATATTATATTATTCTAAGTGTTTTTGCGTTTTATTAATCTTAAGGATAAACTAATTTTTATAGCAATGAGCTTGTCTTTATATTAATGACTATAGGATTGATAGTGATGTCAAAAGCCGGTAATGCTTTAATATAATAGTGGACATGAGAATCATTATTCAATCATATGTTGTTATATTAGGCAAACGATGCCATTCGTTAACGTTTGATACAATACTAAAATACAAAGATATTTATAAATAATCAATAATTAATAGATTGATATTATCCTTAATAATATATAAATATTTGCGCTTTATTTACGCGCCAATGAATGCA